CAACGTACGAGCCACAGCCCGGCTGATCAGGAACCGAGTTTAGGTGCTTGTCCAGTGCCAGCTTGAAGACTGCCAGGGGTCTGTTGGTAATCCCCCTTATGTGTGCTGGGAGGCAGTTGAACAGTCTCGGGCCCCTGACACTTATTGTATGGTCTCTTAACGTGCTAGTGACACCCCTGCTTTTCATTGGGGGGATGGTGCATCGTCTGCCAAGTCTTTTGCTTTCGTAGTAAGTGATTTTCGTGTGCAAGTTCGGTACTAGTCCCTCTAGGATTTTCCAGGAGTATATAATCATGTATCTCTCCCTCCTGCGTTCCAGGGAATACAGGTTTAGGAACCTCAAGCGCTCCCAGTAATTGAGGTGTTTAATCTCCGTTATGCGCGCCGTGAAAGTTCTCTGTACATTTTCTAGGTCGGCAATTTCACCTGCCTTGAAAGGTGCTGTTAGTGTGCAGCAATATTCCAGCCTAGATAGGACAAGTGACCTGAAGAGTGTCATCATGGGCTTGGCCTCCCTAGTTTTGAAGGTTCTCATTATCCATCCTGTCATTTTTCTAGCAGATGTGATTGATACAATGTTATGGTCCTTGAAGGTGAGATCCTCCGACATGATCACTCCCAGGTCTTTGACGTTGGTGTTTCCCTCTATTTTGTGGCCAGAATTTGTTTTGTACTCTGATGAAGATTTAATTTCCTCATGTTTACCATATCTGAGTAATTGAAATTTCTCATCGTTGAACTTCATATTGTTTTCTGCAGCCAACTGAAAGATTTGGTTGATGTCCGCCTGGAGCCTTGCAGTGTCTGCAATGGAAGACACTGTCATGCAGATTCGGGTGTCATCTGCAAAGGAAGACACGGTACTACAATAATGCACCCCTCAAGGAAGGTTCCTTGATGTTGGTGAGGGGCTCTTGATTTAGGGAATTGGATCTGTGCTCCAGTTCCCCGAATTAAGCCTGAATGCCTTCCACATCCCCCCCCAGGCGTTGTATAATCCTCCGGGTTTAGCGCTTCCCCCTTGATTATAATAATAATAATAATACAATAATGCAAGATGGAACTTAGTCAGCCATTAACAAGTGTGTTAAATGTGTCCATCCTTACTGGTGTTGTGCCAGAGATGTGGAATTAGTTAATGAACACAGAGAGTAGTCGTCAACAGAGTAAAGTCCGAGGCAGCTACGGTGAAAAGCTCTGTTCCACAAGGCACAGTACTCGCTCCCATCTTGTTCCTCATCCTCATATCCGACATAGACAAGGATGTCAGCCACAGCACCGTGTCTTCCTTTGCAGATGACACCCGAATCTGCATGACAGTGTCTTCCATTTGTGACACTGCAAAGCTCCAGGCGGACATCAACCAAATCTTTCAGTGGGCTGCAGAAAACAATATGAAGTTCAACGATGAGAAATTTCAATTACTCAGATATGGTAAACATGAGGAAATTAAATCTTCATCAGAGTACAAAACAAATTCTGGCCACAAAATAGAGCGAAACACCAACGTCAAAGACCTGGGAGTGATCATGTCGGAGGATCTCACCTTCAAGGACCATAACATTGTATCAATCACATCTGCTAGAAAAATGACAGGATGGATAATGAGAACCTTCAAAACTAGGGAGGCCAAGCCCATGATGACACTCTTCAGGTCACTTGTCCTATCTAGGCTGGAATATTGCTGCACACTAACAGCACCTTTCAAGGCAGGTGAAATTGCCGACCTAGAAAATGTACAGAGAACTTTCACGGCGCGCATAACGGAGATAAAACACCTCAATTATTGGGAGCGCTTGAGGTTCCTAAACCTGTATTCCCTGGAATGCAGGAGGGAGAGATACATGATTATATACACCTGGAAAATCCTAGAGGGACTAGTACCGAACTTGCACACGAAAATCACTCACTACGAAAGCAAAAGACTTGGCAGACGATGCACCATCCCCCCAATGAAAAGCAGGGGTGTCACTAGCACGTTAAGAGACCATACAATAAGTGTCAGGGGCCCAAGACTGTTCAACTGCCTCCCAGCACACATAAGGGGGATTACCAACAGACCCCTGGCAGTCTTCAAGCTGGCACTGGACAAGCACCTAAAGTCAGTTCCGGATCAGCCGGGCTGTGGCTCGTACGTTGGTTTGCGTGCAGCCAGCAGCAACAGCCTGGTTGATCAGGCTCTGATCCATCACGAGGCCTGGTCACAGACCGGGCCGCGGGGGCGTTGACCCCCGGAACTCTCTCCAGGTAAACTCCAGGTACCCTTGAAAACAACTCGTCGGGTCTCGGGGACTTATTTTGTTTAAGTTTATCTATATGTTTGATAACCATGTCCCTCGTAATAGCAATATTAATTTGAATTCTTCAGGAACTGAATAATTGTTAATTTCTGGAATCTTATTTATGTCTTCTTCTGTAAAGACTGACAAAAAATAGTCATTAAATAGAGAACACATTTCCAGTTCGTTATCCATCAGCTGTCCATTCCAAGTTTTCAGAGGTCCTACTTTTTCCCTCACCTTCGTCCTATACACTTGAAAGAGTCCTTTTGGATTAGTCTTTGATTTATTAGCAACTCTAATTTCATAGTCACGTTTAACCTTTCTAATCCCCTATTTTTACTTCTCTTTTAAACTGAACAAATTGGTCAATAAGGTTAACCTCTCCTCTTTTCATGCGCCTATGTATTCCTCTTTTCTCCCCTGGTAGATGCGTTAGCTTCCTGATAACCCATATGGGATCGTTATTATTTGACCTAATTTCTCTCTGGAAATATATATACTCTGAGCACGTTGTACAGTATTAAGAAAAAAAAAACATACACGCAGATCCCTTCGTAATCGTAAGTGTGATCATCGTCAATAAAATCATTAGCTGTGCAAGAAAGGTATAAAATACCGACAATATGAAAGTTAAGACACATGTGCAACATCTGGATATCTTTATTGTAGACGTTTCGCCATCCAGTGGCTTTATCAATACAGATTCTAGGACATAATTAGAAGACAGTAGAACTATATACAAAAGATGAGATAATCAGTCCCTCAGCCTTGGAGTTAGTGTTCACAGCATCGTGGTGGAGGAGAATCTGGAGCAAAGGCGAACGATTATTATTATAATCAAGGGGGAAGCGCTAAACCCGGAGGATTATACAGCGCCTGGGGAAGGGATGTTGAAGGCATTCAGGCTTAATTTGGGGAACTGGAGCACAGATCCAATTCCCTAAATCAAGAGCCCCTCACCAACATCAAGGAACCTTCCTTGAGAGGCCAAGGCGAACGAACGAACGAACAAGTTCAGGTAAGTTCCCAATGGGATGAGCGGGAAAGACGGGACAGACGAAGAATAACGCTGGAGAGGAGTGTTTTTAGTCGTAGAAATAGAGCCAGGGCTTAACCCAGCAGCTAAGGCGATCGTGGGACAGACATTGAGAACAGACCATACCACGGTCGGGATTTGAACCCGCGGTCAGAGACTCTCTGACCGCGGGTTCAAATCCCGCCCGTGGTATGGTTTGTTTGCAATCGTGTCATTACGATTTCGTGAGTCATTGAGGACAGACATAGAAGGCTCTTCTGTTAGGACTCCGGTGGGGTCAGCGGGGAGGACGGGACAGACGAAGATTAGCCTTGGCATAACCCAGTTTACCTGGAGTTTACCTGGAGAGAGTTTCGGGGGTCAACGCCCCCGCGGCCCGGTCTGTGACCAGGCCTCCTGGTGGATCAGAGCCTGATCAACCAGGCTGTTGCTGCTGGCTGCACGCAAACCAACGTACGAGCCACAGCCCGGCTGATCAGGAACTGACTTTAGGTGCTTGTCCAGTGCCAGCTTGAAGACTGCCAGGGGTCTGTTGGTAATCCCCCTTATGTGTGCTGGGAGGCAGTTGAACAGTCTCGGGCCCCTGACACTTATTGTATGGTCTCTTAACGTGCTAGTGACACCCCTGCTTTTCATTGGGGGGATGGTGCATCGTCTGCCAAGTCTTTTGCTTTCGTAGTGAGTGAGGGGTCGCATCATGGGTGTTAGTGGACTGTTGTGAGTCACATCCTGGGTGTTAGTGGACTGGTGTGGGTCACATCCTGGGTGTTAGTGGACTGGTGTGGTTCGCATCCTGGGTGTTAGTTTTACCTGGAGAGAGTTCCGGGGGTCAACGCCCCCGCGGCCCGGTCTGTGACCAGGCCTCCTGGTGGATCAGAGCCTGATCAACCAGGCTGTTGCTGCTGGCTGCACGCAAACCAACGTACGAGCCACAGCCCGGCTGATCCGGAACTGACTTTAGGTGCTTGTCCAGTGCCAGCTTGAAGACTGCCACTGGACAAGCACATGGTGTGGGTCGCATCCTGGGTGTTAGTGGACTGGTATGGGTCACATCCTGGGTATTAGTGGTCTGGTGTGGGTCACATCCTGGGTGTTAGTGGACTGGTGTGGGTCACATCCTGGGTGTTAGTGGACTGGTGAGTCACATCCTGGGTGTTAGTGGACTGGTGTGTCACATCCTGGGTATTAGTGGTCTGGTGTGGGTCACATCCTGGGTGTTAGTGGACTGGTGTGGGTCACATCCTGGGACAAGTGACCTAATTTGCAGGAAATGCTCGGTATAACAAGGAACTTTCTATATAGTAGTATGTCATTGATGTCAGCTATGGTCTGTATAAGTTGTATCGTGTACTGGCAGTAATAAAGATATTATTATTATTACTTTATCTTCCAGCCGGGTCGAGTCATAGCTCCTGGCCCCCGCCTCTTCACCCTGTGAACTCCAGATAAAACGTAAACCCACCTAGTCTTTTAAACCTTCGTAGAAATTATTATTATTATTATTATTATCTAGGAGGAGGATAATTAAAGTTTACCCGAAATATTTTACCCAACTATTGGCTTTACCATTTAAGTAACCACTAATATAAAAAAAACACACAAAAACATTCCGTTTCGAAAATAAACATTTCTGATGAAATGGTGATATATTTCATTTTTCATTTTCATTTATTTATTTTTTTATTCGTGAACGCGAGAGGAAAAAAGATGGCGGCGCTGTCCAGGCTGAGCAAGACGGCTTTTAGGCTTAATAATGACGTTTTAAAGGCCGTTAATGGTGCTTTGGTGCCCAGTAATGGTGTCTTCGTGCCCAGGGTAGTGGGTATATCCACGTCCAAGAAGAACAAGGACACCGTGACGGTCACGGACGCTGTGGTGGAACATGTCAAAGACTGATGAATGGTTTTGAAAACCGACAAGTTGAAGAATTGAGACACTTATGCAACACATGGGAATCTTTACTGAAGAAATGTTTCGCCACACAGTGGCTTCATCAGTCCAATACAAAGTAGAAGTGGGTAAGGAGAGTAGAAGTTTGAAGTAATCAGTCCCTCAACCTGGAATCGATGTGTTCAGTCCATCACTCTTGTAGGAAGTGCAGCACAGGGCCAGAGAGGTGGCTTATATACTGCGGTGAGATGAGTTGAAGCAGGAGGAGGTGGGATCACAGTGGGACCTGCCACTAGTGTAAGTAGGTCGTCGTCCAAAGGTTGGGCAAGCGTTGAAGTCTTTGTACCAAGATCCCATGCACTATTCTTCGTCTGTCCCGTCTTCCCCGCTCATCCCATTTGGGATTTTACCTGAACTTTCGTTCGTTCCTATGCTGCACTTCCTACAAGAGTGATGGACTGAACACATCGATTCCAGGTTGAGGGACTGATTACCTCAAACTTCTACTCTCCTTACCCACTTCTACTTTGTATTGGACTGATGAAGCCACTGTGTGGCGAAACGTTTCTTCAATAAAGATTCCCATATGTTTCATAAGTGTCTCAATTCTTCAACAGGTCAAAGACTGAACAAACAGCTGTGACTAAGGTACTGTTGTTGCCCATGTAGGTTTAGCTCTTCTTTTTTTATTATAATGTTGGCACGGTTACTGTTAATGTCACAGTCACTGCTGTCACAGTTACTGCTGTCAGTTACTGTTGTCACAGTTACTGTTAATGTCACAGTTACTGTTGTCAGAGTTACCGTTGTCAGAGTTACCGTTGTCACAGTTACTGTTTTCACAGTTACTGTAACTTGTTGCAATTACTATTACTCTTGTCAGTTACTGTTGTCACAGTTACTGTTACTGTTGTCACAGTTATTGTCACTGTTACTGTTGTCACAGTTACTGTTACTGTTGTCACAGTTACTGTTGTCAGTTACTGTTGTCAGTTGCTGTTGTCAGTTGCTGTTGTCAGTTACTGTTGTCAGTTGCTGTTATCAGTTACTGTTACTGTTGTCAGTTGCTGTTGTTACTGTTGTCACAGTTGCTGTTGTCAGTTACTGTTGTCAGTTACTGTTGTCACAGTTGCTGTTGTCAGTTACTGTTGCTGTTGTCAGTTACTGTTGTCACAGTTACTGTTGTTACTGTTACTGTTGTCACAGTTACTGTTGTCACATTTACTGTTGTCAGTTACTGTTACTGTTGTCACAGTTACTGTTACTGTTGTCACAGTTACTTTTGTCACTGTTGTCACTGTTAATGTCACAGTTACTGTTGTCAGTTACTGTTGTCACAGTTACTGTTGTCAGTTACTGTTGTCAGTTGCTGTTGTCAGTTACTGTTACTGTTGTCAGTTGCTGTTGTTACTGTTGTCAGTTACTGTTGTCACAGTTGCTGTTGTCAGTTACTGTTGTCACAGTTACTGTTGTCACAGTTACTGTTGTCAGTTACTGTTGTCACAGTTGCTGTTGTCAGTTACTGTTGTCAGTTACTGTTGCTGTTGTCAGTTACTGTTGTCACATTTACTGTTGTCACAGTTACTGTTGTCACAGTTACTGTTGTCACAGTTACTGTTGTCAGTTACTGTTACTGTTGTCACAGTTACTTTTGTCACTGTTGTCACAGTTACTTTTGTCACTGTTGTCAGTTACTGTTGTCACTGTTGCTGTTGTCACAATTATTGTCACTGTTGTCACAGTTACTGTTGTCACAGTTACTGTTGTCACAGTTATTGTTGTCACAGTTACTGTTGTCACAGTTATTGTTGTCACAGTTACTGTTGTCACAGTTACTGATGTCACAGTTACTGTTGTCACAGTTTACTGTTATTCTTGCTACCTGAGAACTTCCTATATACACTGTAAGTCCAATAGTTTATACCTGGAGGTTTGACACATTAATCTTTTAAATTTAACTACATTTTTATTTATATATTTCAGAACTGGATCAGTTATGACTCGGAAGTGGAGGACAACACAATAATGCATCTCACGTTCTTCTTCGGTGTAACTCTGTGTATAGTGACTATAGGATTCGTCTGGGCTTACCTGCCAGATTTCAGGTTAGACTACTAATGACTCACAAAATCATAACAGGATTTCAAAATATGGAACGGGTGGGGTTTGAACCCTTGACCTGGAGTTTTACTACTCGCTCGCCATGGGTTTAAACTCCACTCATTCCATGGTTTTGTTAGACTACTAATGTGTCCTGAAGACTGTTACGACCTTATGCTATAGTCAGTGTTACGACCTTATGCTATAGTCAGGTCTCGATTACTGCAAATAATGAATCCTGTGAAGCGGTCGTATTATTCAAATTTGCACTGTTTAAATTATATATAATTTTTGCTCACGAATTGAAGAGTTTGTGGAAAAACTAACATTAATTATTGTTATAATCATGGGGGAGCATTAAACCCATAGGGATTATATGTTGCCTGTAAGGGAAAGGGGTGGAAGGTATTCAGGCTCAATTCAGGGAACTGGAGCATAGATCAAATTCCCTAGATCAAGAGCCCCTCACCAGCATCAAGGAACCTCCCTTGAGGGGCTAGCATTAATTAATTTTGCAGTGAATTGAAATTTACACTGTTTGAGTTCACACTAATCAAGACCTCCTTGACGTATGACAGTTCGACGTATAATATTTTGACTTTACGATGGTGAAAAGCAATTACTCTGGAGATGAATCTCAAGATAATTACCCAGCATGAAGGCGGCAAGTCTGTAACTTGTATTCATTTATTTACTTTTCAATGCTGGTATTTATTTAGTTACAGTAATTATCTGTTTATTTACTTATTCAATGACAGTAGTTATTTATTTACTAAGCATATTGTGTTCGACTTTGCTATTTTTGACTTAGTGAGTTTCTCAGAATGTAACCCTACAATATTTTTACTTACAAAGTCATAATATTGGTCTTTGAAGACCTCACAATGTACATTCAAAATGGTGCATGGTAGAAATTTCTTATGATTACTGGTGTAAAATATACAGTAGAACAGGTCTCAAACATGTGTCCTTTGAAATACCTTTGAAGTTTCGAGAGTTTCTCTACTATGGGCCAGGCTTGTCCAGCTCGTACTGTATATTGTTCTGCAGGAAGTGCAAATTACCCATTGTAGTATCTATTTGTCCTGAATTTATTATTTTTTACTGCAGAATGGTCGATTGGGCACAGCGTGAAGGGTACTTGGAGTTGCGCCGGAGGGAAGCAGAAGTCCTACCACTAATCGACCCCAACCTTATTAGTATTGAGAAGATAGAGCTACCATTGGATGAAAAACTTGCAGATACAGAGATCATTATTTGAGAGAATTTCAGGCCTATACTGACTTTGTTTCACATTTTTTGGTATGCCTACAGGATCCTATCATTCATCACTACAGGATGCTGTCATTCATCACTACAGGATGCTGTCAGTTATCATTACAGGATGCTGTCAGTCATCATTACAGGGTGCTTTCAATCATCACTACAGGATGCTGTCATTCATCACTACAGGATACTGTCATTCATCACTACAGGATGCTGTCAGTCATCACTACAGGATGCTGTCATTCATCACTACAGGATACTGTCAGTCATCACTACAGGATGCGCAGTAATCATCCTACAGGATGCTGTCAGTCATCACACAGGATACTGTCAGTCATCACTACAGGATGCTGTCAGTATCATACAGGATGCTGCCATCTCACTACAGGATCTGTCATTATCACTACAGAGCAGTCAGTCATCACTACAGATTGTCCTTCACTACGATGCTGTCAGTCACATTCATCACTGGAGTAACCAAAGCACTTCAATTCTATACTATTAGCTTCACTACATTACTATTAAAGAACCTTGAAGTAATATACTGTAGTTAACACCTTGAAGTAATATATTTAAGACCTTGAAGTACTATATATAAGACCTTGAAGTAGTATAATATAGTTAAGACACTTAAGTATATAGTTAAAGAAGACACTCGGAAGTAACTATAGCTTAAGACACTGAAGGAGTTGAAATCCTTGAGTGTGTCCAACTATAAGTGTATAGTCTAAAGTGAAGTACCTCAGAGACTTACTATATCAGTACTAAATATCTTTTGCTCTTCGAGGGTAAGATATACTGAAGGATTGAACTCCTTCAGTGTGACTATATTATAAGTGTATAGTCTAAAGTGAAGTACCTCAGAGACTTACTATATCAGTACTAAATATCTTCTGCTCTTCGAGGGTAAGATATACTGAAGGAGTGAACTCCTTCAGTGTGACTATATTATAAGTGTATAGTCTAAGGTGAAGTACCTCAGAGACTTACTATAACAGTACTAAATATCTTCTGCTCTTCGAGGGTAAGAAACCGTCCTCCAAAGATATAATCTTTAGTTGAAGACAAAGTGGGAGTCCAGAAGAACATCTTGAAACACAAGACTCACCAGCTGGAAGACCTCAATATGAAGAAATACGAGGAGAACATGCTGGTTGTCCTCGGATGCGAAAGAAACTACGTAGGCAGAGAAAGCTTTGAAAGCTTCTTGAAGGAAAATATTCTTATTTCCAAAGAGCCTGAAGATTTGTTTCCAGATGGAATTAGCTCAACTATATGCAAAATATGCAGTCGAGGCAGGACTGCCACTTGCTAATTCTATGGACTGTGGAAAACACTTAAGCACTTCTGGCATAGGCATCAAGAGAATGAGTGCCAGGTTTAACTTTGAGTATGCCTATCAAGGAATGAGATGGATTGATACTTCTGGTAAAACTTTTTATGAACGTAGTGCTAAGAGAAAAAAGCCTCTATTGGATGAAATTTCCCGAAAAAAACAAAAACTAGTAGACAACAAAAAGAAGAAGGAACAGGAAAACACTAAAAGAGAAGAAAAAAGAATGGAGAAGGAAGGTGAGGAAGATTCAAGCAGTGACAAGGAACTGCCACCTTCCACAACTGAACCAGAAGTACAGACTGATGAGGAATCTAACAAGGTCACAAGTCAGGAAACTACTACTGACAATGATTCTCTTATAAGTAATTACATAAACAACTTTATAGTTTCTACTGGAGCAGCAGCTGAGTCAGAAGAACAGCGAGAACAGGAGACCTTCATTCAGGGGCTTCTCTTCCCTGACAAACCACCAAAAGAACAGCAAGAACAGGAGACCTTCATTGAGGAGCTTCTCTTCCCTGACAAACCACCAAAAGAACAGCAAGAACTGGAGACCTTCATTGACGAGCTTCTCTTCCCTGACAAACCACCAAAACGTGTACAAGAAACAACTGCACCTGCCAACTTTGGCACAAAGCCAGAGTCTGTACAGGAAAAGCAAGATTATGATTTTGACCTGGATACTCTCTTTCACTGAATCAATCCTTCTTGGCTGCCATCACTTGTAGTAAACAAGCAAGAACTACATCCACTGAAGAAGACCACAAAAATCATATGAGGATATTTTCACAATTGAAAATTTTATTTTTAAAATTTTTTAAGAAGATATTATTATTATTTTTGAAATGAAAGGACTGATTTTAGTTGAGGTGATAGTATAATAATTATATAATGGGGTCTGTCTGTGTGAATAGTCCAGGTTAAGTACTTTAAAAATAATAATGACAATATTGGTATGGTGAGGCATAGTAGTGATGAGGATAGTGATGAGGGTAATGACCAGGATAGTGATGAGGATAGTGACGAAGATAGTGATAAGGGTAGTGATGAATATAGTGATAAGGGTAATGAGGATAGTGATGTATGGTGACATGTATAGTAGTGTTGTATGGTGACATGTATGATAGTGATGTATGGTATGTGTATGTGACATTATGGTATGTTGTGGACATGTATGGTAGTGTTGTATGGTGACATGTATGATAGTGTTGTATAGTAGTGTTGTATGGTGACATGTATAGTAGTGTTGTATGGTGACATGTATGGTAGTGTACTAGTGATCATTAGTGATGTGTTGTGTACTGATATGTAGTGTTGTGAACTGATGTGTAGTGTTGTGTACTGATGTGTAGTGGGAACCTGGGTGTCAATCACCTGGTGTGGGTTGCATTCTGGGTGTTAGTGGACTGGTGTGGGTTGCATCTTGGGGGTTAGTGGACTAGTGTGCATCACATCCTGGGTGTTAGGTGACTGGTGTGGGTCACATCCAGGGTGTAAGGTGACTGGTGTGGGTCACATCCAGGGTGTAAGGTGACTGGTGTGGGTCACATCCTGGGTGTTAGTGGACTGGTGTGGGTTGCATCCTGAGTGTTAGTGTACTGGTGTGGGGGTTATCCAGGGAGTTAGTGTACTGGTGTGGGTCGCATCCTGGGTGTTAGTGGACTGGTGTGTGTCACATCCTGGGTGTTAGTGGACTGGTGTGGGTCACATCCTGGGTGTTAGTGGACTGGTGTGGGTCGCATCCTGGGACAAAAGTGACCTAATTTGCAGGAAATGCTCGGTATAACAAGGAACTTTCTATATAGTAGTATGTCATTGATGTCAGCTATGGTCTGTATAAGTTGTATCGTGTACTGGCAGTAATAAAGATATTATTATTATTATTACTTTATCTTCCAGCCTTGCTGATGGCTTCACCTTCGACACAGACTTCCTGTTTAACTTTTAGACAGCAACAGATTTATTAAACAAACTTTGATAATACTTCCTTTAGCACTTCTGACAGCCCATTCTAACTCAACCTCTGTTATCCTCTCCACCACTGGCTATTTTCTGCTGCAGCAACACTCTGTCCTGAACCACTGTGTGACCTGAGTGGGTTTAGTGCTTCTTTTATATAAAAAATAATAATACACTACAGTAAATTGTAAGTATTCCACATCACTACGGTAAACTATTCAGTACTCCAAATCACTAAACTATTCAGTACTACAAATCACTAAACTATTCAGTTCTCTACATCACTACAGAACAGTGTTATGTACTTTACATCACTACAGTGAACTGTTAACCCGTAAACGGTCCAAACATATATATATACGTTCTCTCACACAATACCCCGAATATTTTGAGAAACCAAAAATTGATTTTTTTTATAGGAAAAAAGAACATGTAGTACCCAGGTGTCCCCATTTTTTTTATATGGCAGACACACTGAGTGCGCACACCCATTCTCTCATGTGTAGGCGACTCAGGCATATTGTGCCAATGTTGAATGAATGACAAATGAAACATATATACATTTGGGGCGCTACATAAGAGAACGTATATATACGTTTGGACCGTTTAAGGATTTTATACTCCACATCACTACAGTAAACTGTTATGTGCTCAAAATCACTACAGTAAATTGTTAAGTATTAAACATCACTACAGTTGTCACTCATCACTACAGGATGCTGTAATTCATCACTACAGTATGCTGTCATTCATCACTACAGGATGGTGTCAATCATCACTACAGGATGCTGTCATTCATCACTACAGGATGCTGTCAGTTATCACTACAGGATGCTGTCAATCATCACTACAGGATGCTGTCAATCATCACTACAGGATGCTGTCAGTCATCATTACAGGGTGCTTTCAATCATCACTACAGGGTGCTTTCAATCATCACTACAGGATGCTGTCAGTCATCACTACAGGATGCTGTCAGTCATCACTACAGGATGCTGTCAGTTATCACTACAGGATGCTGTCAGTCATCACTACAGGATGCTGTCAGTTATCACGACAAGATGCTGTCAGTCATCACTTGCATCACTGGAGTAACCAAAGCACTTCTAGTTTCCTCCACTATTAGCTTCACTACATTACTATTAAAGAACCTTGAAGTAATATACTATATTTAAAAACCTTTAAATATAAACATAGTTAAGCCCTTTGAAAAAAAATTTTTTAAGACCTTGAAGTACTATAAAAGTTAAGACAAAAAGGGTGAAATCCTTAAGTGTGTTAACAAAGTGTATAGTCAAAAGTGAAGTCCTCGGTTTCTATAACAGTACTAAATATCTTCAGCTCTCGAGGGAAAGAAACATGAAGGAGTGACCTCCTTTGTGTCTATATTAAAAGTGTTAGTCAAAATTTAAGTACCAGGATTACATATAAATACAAAATACTTTGCTTTCGAGGGTAAGAAACATAAAGGATTGAACTCCTTCGTGTGACTATATTATAAGTGTATAGTCTAAGGTGAAGTATCAGAGATTATTTAAAACAGTACAAAATATTTCTGCTTTCGGGGGAAAGAAACCGCCTCAAAGATATAATTTTTTTGAAGACAAGGGGAGCCCAGAAGAACATCTTAAAAAACAAAAGGGACTCCCCAGCTGGAAGCCCTCAATATGAAAAATACGGGAGAACAGTGGTGTTCGGAGCGAAAGAAACTAGTAGCAGAAAAAGTTTTAAAAATTTGAAGGGAAAATATTTTTTTCCCAAAAGAGCCGAAGTTTTTGTTTTCCCAAAGGGAATTAGCAAAAATATATCAAAATACGCATCGAGCAGGACGGCACTTGCAAATTTCTATGGACTGTGGAAAACACTTTAAACACTTCTGGGATAGGCATAAGAAATGAAAGGCCGGGTTTAACTTGGTATGCCCTTTAAGGAAGAGATGGATTGATACTTCTGGTAAAAACTTTTTTTGAAGTAGTGCTAAGAGAAAAAGCCCCTATGGATGAAATTTCCCCAAAAAAACAAAAAAGTAGACAAACAAAAGAAGAAGGAACAGGAAAAAACTAAAAAGAAGAAAAAAAAATGGAGAAGGAAGGTGAGGAGATTCAAGCAGTGACAAGGAACTGCCCCCTTCCCCAAATGAAACCGAAGTACAGACTGGAGGAAACTAACAAGGACAATCAGGAAATACTACGACAAGTTTCTTTTTAAGTAATTACATAAAAAAATTTATTTTCTATGGAGCAGCAGTGAGTCAAAGAACACAAGAACAGGAGCCTTCATTCAGGGGCTTTCTTCCCTGACAAACACCAAAAAAACAGCAAGAACAGGAGACCCTTTATTGGGCTTTTTCCCGACAAAAAAACCCAAAAAAACGCAAGAACGGGGGACCTTTTTGAAGAGTTCTTTCCCTACAAACACCAAAAACCCGTACAAGAAAAACAAAATGCACCGCCAACTTTGGCCAAAGCCAGTGTTGTAAGGGGAAAACCCCCGATTTTGATTTTTGACCTGGGGTCTCTTTCAAGAAACAATTTTTTTGGGCCGCCATCACTTGTAGTAAACAAGCAAGAACTACATCCACTGAAGAAGACCACAAAAAATATATGAGGATATTTTCACAATTAAAAATTTTATTTTTAAAAATTTTTAAGAAGATATTTTTATTATTTTTGAAATGAAAGGACTGATTTTAGTTGAGGTGATAGTATAATAATTATATAATGGGGTCTGTGTGAATAGTCCAGGTTAAGTACTTTAAAAATAATAATGACAATATTGGTATGGTGAGGCATAGTAGTGATGAGGATAGTGATGATAGTGATAAAGATAGTGATGAGGGTATTGACCAGGATAGTGATGAAGGTAGTGATAAGGGTAGTGATGAATATAGTGATGACCTGAAGTTTACCTGGAGAGAGTTTCGGGGGTCAACGCCCCCGCGGCCCGGTCTGTGACCAGGCCTCCTGGTGGATCAGCGCCTGATCAACCAGGCTGTTGCTGCTGGCTGCACGCAAACCAACGTACGAGCCACAGCCCGGCTGATCAGGAACTGACTTTAGGTGCTTGTCCAGTGCCAGCTTGAAGACTGCCAGGGGTCTGTTGGTAATCCCCCTTATGTGTGCTGGGAGCATTTTGAACAGTCTGGGGGCCCCTGCACTTATTGCATGGTCCCCCTTAACGTGCTAAGTGACACCCCTGCTTTTCATTGGAGGGAATGGTGCATCGTCTGCCAAGTCTTTTGCTTTCGTAGTGAGTGATTTTCGTGTGCAAGTTCGGAAACTAGTCCCTCTAGGATTTTCCAGGTGTATATAATCATGTATCTCTCCCTCCGCGTTCCAGGGAATACGGGTTTAAAAACCCTCAAGCGCTCCCAGAATTGAGGTGTTTTATCTCCGTTATGCGCGCCGTGAAAGTTCTCTGTACATTTTCTAGGTCGGCAATTTCACCTGCCTTGAAAGGTGCTGTTAGAGTGCAGCAATTTTCCAGCCTAGATAGAACAAGTGACCTGAAGAGTGTCATCATGGGCTTGGCCTCCCTAGTTTTTTAAGGTTCTCCCTTATCCTTTCCCGTCATTTTTCTAGCAGATGCATTGATACAATGTTATGTCCTTGAAGGTGAGATCCCCCGACATAATCACTCCCCGGTCTTTGACGTTGGTGTTTCGCTCTATTTTGTGGCCAAATTTTTTTTTGTACCTGATGAAGATTAATTTCCTCAGTTTACCATATCTGAGTAATTTTAAATTTCTCATCGTTGAACTTCATATTGTTTTCTGCAGCCCACTGAAAGATTTGGGTTTATGTCCGCCTGGAGCCTTGCAGTGTCTGCAATGGAAGACACTGTCATGCAGATTCGGGTGTCATCTGCAAAGGAAGACATGGTGCTTGGCTGACATCCTTGTCTATGTTTGGGTATGAGGATGAGGAACAAGATGGGAGCTAGTACTGTGCCTTGTGGAACAGAGCTTTTCACCGTAGCTCGCCTCGGACTTTACTCTGTTGATGACTACTCTCTGTGTTCTGTTAGTGAGGAAATTATAGATCCATCGACCGACTTTTCCTGTTATTCCTTTAGCGCGCATTTTTGCGCTATTACGCCGTGGTCACACTTGTCGAAGGCTTTTTGCAAAGTCTGTATATATTACATCTGCATTTTTTTTGTCTTCTAGTGCATTTAGGACCTTGTCGTAGTGATCCAGTAGTTGAGACAGACAGGAGCGACCTGTTCTAAACCCATGTTGCCCTGGGTTTGTGTAACTGATGGGTTTCTAGATGGGTGGTGATCTTGCTTCTTAGGACCCTTTCAAGATTTTTATGATATGGGATGTTAGTGCTATTGGTCTGTAGTTCTTTGCTGTTGCTTTACTGCCCCCTTTGTGGAGTGGGGCTATGTCTGTTGTTTTTAGTAACTGAGGGACGACCCCCGTGTCCATGCTCCCTCTCCATAGGATGGAAAAGGCTCGTGATAGGGCTTCTTGCAGTTCTTGATGAACACAGAGTTCCATGAGTCTGCCCTGGGGCAGAGTGCATGGGCATGTCATTTATACGCCTGTTCGAAGTCATTTGGCGTCAGGATAACATCGGATAGGCTTGTGTTAATCAAATTTTGTGGCTCTCATAAAAAATTCATTTTGATCTTCGACTCTCAGTCTGGTTAGCGGTTTGCTAAAAACTGAGTCATATTGGGACTTGAGTAGCTCACTCATTTCCTTGCTGTCATCTGTGTAGGACCCATCTTGTTTAAGTAGGGGCCCAATACTGGACGTTGTTCTCGATTTTGATTTGGCATAGGAGAAGAAATACTTTGGGTTTCTTTCGATTTCATTTATGGCTTTTAGTTCTTCCCCGCGATTCCTGACTCCTAAAGGATTCTTTTAGCTTAATGTTCGATGCTTGCTATTTCTCTGACCAGTTCTCCCTGCGCATTTCAGATATATTGACCTCTTTTAGCCGCTCTGTTATTCTTTTCCGTCGCCTGTAAAGGGAGCGCCTGTCTCTTTCTATTTTACATCTACTCCTCCTTTTTCTTAGAGGAATAAGCCTTGTGCATACATCGAGTGCCCACCGAGTTAATCTGTTCTAGGCATAAGTTTGGGTCTGTGTTGCTTAGTATATCTTCCCACTTATATCGGTTAGGACTTGGTTTACTTGGTCCCACTTTATGTTTTGTTATTGAAGTTGAATTTGTGAATGCTCCCACGTGGCTAGTCTCATTTTGTCGGTCTGGGCTCCACGCATACATGTCTGAACCTCAATTATGTGTGATCTGAGTATATTGTTTTTTGATATGGTGACATTTCTTATCAGATCATCATTGTTAGTGAAGATGAGGTCTAGTGTATTCTCCAGTCTAGTAGGCTCTATTATTTGCTGGTTTAAAAATTTAATTTTGTGCAGAGATTTAAAAGCTCGTGTGAGTGTGAGTTTTCATCAGAGCTGCCTCCTGGTGTTATTACTGCAACAATATTATTTGCTATATTCCCCCATTTTAGGTGCCTTAAGTTGAAGTCCCCCAGGAGCAAGATGTTGGGTGCAGGAGCTGGAAGTTTTTTCCAGACAGTGGTCAATTTTTAACAGCTGTTCCTGGAATTGCTGGGATGTTGCATCAGGAGGCTTGTAGACTACCACAATGACTAGGTTTTGGTTCTCGACCTTTACTGCTAAAACTTCCACTACATCATTTGAGGCATTAAGCAGTTCTGTGCAAACAAGTGACTCTGCAATGTACAGGCCAACCCCCCCCTTTTGCCTGTTCACTCTGTCACATCTGTATAGGTTGTAACCTGGGATCCATATTTCGTTGTCCAAGTGATCCTTTATGTGGGTCTCAGTGAAAAGCCGCGAACATTGCCTTTGCCTCTGCAAGCAGTCCACGGATGAAAGGTATTTTGTTGTTTGTTGCTGGCTTTAGACCCTGTATATTTGCAAAGAAGAATGTTATCGGACTGGTGGTATTGTTGGTACTGGGGGGATTTTTTTTCCGGCATTAGTATCTGTATCTGTTGGTTTGGAGTGGAGGCCATCGACTGTGGTTCCACTCCAGGAATGACTGGATTTGGTGTACGATTTCTGCCATTTCCTGCCAGTTTTTTTTCCTTCCTGGCACTAAAAAACCTCTCCCTCTTGAGTGGCTGTGGCTACCCAGGTTTTCCCATGGCCTGGATGTTTTGTATCTTTTTGTCCCCTTTAGATGGTATGCCTGGCAATTTAAGTTATAGCACAGTCTTTCCTGTACTGATGAGGGTAGTGATAACTGTTAGTGATGAGGATAGTGATGAAGGTAGTGATAAAGGTAGTGATGAGGATAGTGATGAAGATAGTGATGAGTTGTAATGAGGATAGTGATGTATGGTGACATGTATAGTAGTGTTGTATGGTGACATGTATGATAGTGATGAGTTGTAATGAGGATAGTGATGTATGGTGACATGTATAGTAGTGTTGTATGGTGACATGTATGATAGTGATGTATGGTAGTGTTGTATGGTGACATGTATGGTAGTGTTGTATGGTGACATGTATGGTAGTGTTGTATGGTGACATGTATGGTAGTGTTGTATGGTGACATGTATGATAGTGTTGTATGGTAGTGTTGTATGGTGACATGTATGGTAGTGTTGTATGGTGACATGTATGGTAGTGTTGTATGGTGGCATGTATGGTAGTGTTGTTTGGTAGTGTAGTAACGATCATTAGTGATGTGTTGTGAACTGATATGTAGTGTTGTGAACTGATGTGTAGTGCTGTGTACTGATGTGTAGTGGGAACCTGGGTGTCAATCACCTGGTGTGGGTTGCATTCTGGGTGTTAGTGGACTGGTGTGGGTTGCATCTTCGGGGTTAGTGGACTAGTGTGCATCACATCCTGGGTGTTAGGTGACTGGTGTGGGTCACATCCAGGGTGTAAGGTGGCTGGTGTGGGTCACATCCTGGGTGTTAGTGGACTGGTGTGGGTTGCATCCTGGGTGTTAGTGTACTGGTGTGGGGGATATCCAGGGAGTTAGTGTACTGGTGTGGGTCGCATCCTGGGTGTTAGTGGACTGGTGTGTGTCACATCCTGGGTGTTAGTATACTGGTGTGGGTCACATCCTGGGTGTTAGTGGACTGGTGTGGGTCGCATCCTGGGACAAAAGTGACCTAATTTGCAGGAAATGCTCGGTATAACAAGGAACTTTCTATATAGTAGTATGTCATTGATGTCAGCTATGGTCTGTATAAGTTGTATCGTGTACTGGCAGTAATAAAGATATTATTATTATTATTACTTTATCTTCCAGCCTTGCTGATGGCTTCACCTTCGACACAGACTTCCTGTTTAACTTTTAGACAGCAACAGATTTATTAAACAAACTTTGATAATACAGTGGACCCCCGGTTAACGAACTTTTTTCATTCCAGTAGTATGTTCAGGTGCCAGTACTGACCGAATTTTTTCCCATAAGGAATATTGTGAAGTAGATTAGTCCATTTCAGACCCCCAAACATACACGTACAAACGCACTTACATAAATACACTTACGTAATTGGTCGCATTTGGAGGTGATCGTTAAGCGGGGGTCCACTGTACTTCCTTTAGCACTTCTGACAGCCCATTCTAACTCAACCTCTGTTATCCTCTCCACCACTGGCTATTTTCTGCTGCAGCAACACTCTGTCCTGAACCACTGTGTGACCCGAGTGGGTTTAGTGATTCTTTTATATAAAAAATAATAATACACTACAGTAAATTAAGTATTCCACATCACTTCGGTAAACTATTCAGTACTCCAAATCACTAAACTATTCAGTACTCCAAATCACTAAACTATTCAGTACTCCAAATCACTAAACTATTCAGTACTCTACATCACTACAGCACAGTGTTATGTACTTTACATCACTACAGTGAACTGTTAACCCGTAAACGGTCCAAACATATATATACGTTCTCTCACACAATACCCCGAATATTTTGAGAAACCAAAAATTGATTTTTTTTATAGGAAAAAAGAACATGTAGTACCCAGGTGTCCCCATTTTTTTTCTATGGCAGACACACTGAGTGCGCACACCCATTCTCTCATGTGTAGGCGACTCAGGCATATCGTGCCAATGTTGAATGAATGACAAATGAAACATACATATATACGTTTGGGACGCTACATAAGAGAACGTATATATACGTTTGGACCGTTTAAGGATTTTATACTCCACATCACTACAGCAAACTGTTATGTGCTCAAAATCACTACAGTAAATTGTTAAGTATTAAACATCACTACAGTTGTCACTCATCACTACAGGATGCTGTAATTCATCACTACAGTATGCTGTCATTCATCACTACAGGATGCTGTCAATCATCACTACAGGATGCTGTCATTCATCACTTCAGGATGCTGTCAGTTATCACTACAGGATGCTGTCAATCATCACTACAGGATGCTGTCAGTCATCATTACAGGGTGCTTTCAATCATCACTACAGGGTGCTTTCAATCATCACTACAGGATGCTGTCAGTCATCACTACAGGATGCTGTCAGTCATCACTACAGGATGCTGTCAGTTATCACTACATGATGCTGTCAGTCATCACTACAGGATGCTGTCAGTTATCACTACAGGATGCTGTCAGTCATCACTACAGGATGCTGTCAGTTATCACGACAAGATGCTGTCGGTCATCATTTGCATCACTGGAGTAACCAAAGCACTTCTAGTTTCCTCCACTATTAGCTTCACTACATTACTATTAAAGAACCTTGAAGTAATATACTATATTTAAGACCTTTAAGTACTATAACATAGTTAAGACCTTGAAGTAATATATTTAAGACCTTGAAGTACTATAATATAGTTAAGACACTGAAGGAGTGAAATCCTTAAGTGTGTCTAACTATAAGTGTATAGTCTAAAGTGAAGTACCTCAGAAACTTACTATATCATTACTAAATATCTTCAGCTCTTCGAGGGTAAGAAACACTGAAGGAGTGACCTCCTTCAGTGTGACTATATTATAAGTGTATAGTCTAAAGTGAAGTACCTCAGAAACTTACTATATCATTACTAAATATCTTCTGCTCTTCGAGGGTAAGAAACACTGAAGGATTGAACTCCTTCAGTGTGACTATATTATAAGTGTATAGTCTAAGGTGAAGTATCTCAGAGACTTACTATAACAGTACTAAATATCTTCTGCTCTTCGAGGGTAAGAAACCGTCCTCCAAAGATATAATCTTTAGGTGAAGACAAAGTGGGAGTCCAGAAGAACATCTTGAAACACAAGACTCGCCAGCTGGAAGACCTCAATATGAAGAAATACGAGGAGAACATGCTGGTGGTCCTCGGATGCGAAAGAAACTACGTAGGCAGAGAAAGCTTTGAAAGCTTCTTGAAGGAAAATATTCTTATTTCCAAAGATCCTGAAGATTTTGTTTTCCAGATGGAATTAGCTCAACTATATGCAAAATACGCAGTCGAGGCAGGACTGCCACTTGCTAATTCTATGGACTGTGGAAAACACTTAAGCACTTCTGGCATAGGCATCAAGAGAATGAGTGCCAGGTTTAACTTTGAGTATGCCTATCAAGGAATGAGATGGATTGATACTTCTGGTAAAACTTTTTATGAACGTAGTGCTAAGAGAAAAAAGCCTCTATTGGATGAAATTTCCCGAAAAAAACAAAAACTAGTAGACAACAAAAAGAAGAAGGAACAGGAAAAAACTAAAAGAGAAGAAAAAAGAATGGAGAAGGAAGGTGAGGAAGATTCAAGCAGTGACAAGGAACTGCCACCTTCCACAACTGAACCAGAAGTACAGACTGATGAGGAATCTAACAAGGTCACAAGTCAGGAAACTACTACTGACAATGATTCTCTTATAAGTAATTACATAAACAACTTTATAGTTTCTACTGGAGCAGCAGCTGAGTCAGAAGAACAGCAAGAACAGGAGACCTTCATTCAGGGGCTTCTCTTCCCTGACAAACCACCAAAAGAACAGCAAGAACTGGAGACCTTCATTGAGGAGCTTCTCTTCCCTGACAAACTACCAAAACCTGTACAAGAAACAACTGCACCTGCCAACTTTGGCACAAAGCCAGAGTCTGTACAGGAAACTCAAGATTATGATTTCGACCTGGATGCTCTCTTTCACTGAATCAATCCTTCTGGGCCGCCATCACTGAAGAAGACCACAAAAAATATATGAGGATATTTTCACAATTGAAAATTTTATTATTAAAATTTTTTAACAAGATATTATTATTATTTTTGAAATGAAAGGACTGATTTTAGTTGAGGTGATAGTATAATAATTATATAATGGAGTCTGTCATTTGTGCTTTATAGTTATCTGTTTACAATTATGTTTTATCACTGATTTCATCATTGCTTAGTTAATCTTAAGTTAATTTTAAGCCAGCCCGTAATGCTATGCATATAAGTGGCTTTGGCATGCTGCTCTTACCTGTATTTTTTGTACCTCTGTATGTATGCTAACAGTCCAGGTTAAGTACTTTAAAAATAATAATGACAATATTGGTATGGTGAGGCATAGTAGTGATGAGGATAGTGTTGATAGTGATGAATATAGTGATGAGGGTAATGACCAGGATAGTGATGAAGGTGGTGATAAGGGTAGCGATGAATATAGTGATGAGAGTAGTGAAGCGATGAGGATAGTGATGAAGATAGTGATAAGGGTTATTATGAGGATAGTGATCAAGATAGTGATGAGGGTAATGAGTATAGTGATGTATGGTGACGTGTATGGTAGTGATGTATGGTGACATGTATGGAAGTGCTGTATGGTGACATGAATGATAGTGATGTATAGTAGTGATGTATGGTGACATGTATATTAGTGTTGTATGGTGACATGTATGATAGTGTTGTATGGTAGTGTAGTAGTGATCATTAGTGATGTGTTGTGTACTGATGTGTAGTTTACCTGGAGTTTACCTGGAGAGAGTTCCGGGGGTCAACGCCCCCGCGGCCCAGTCTGTGACCAGGCCTCCTGGTGGATCAGAGCCTGATCAACCAGGCTGTTGCTGCTGGCTGCACGCAAACCAACGTACGAGCCACAGCCCGGCTGATCAGGAACTGACTTTAGGTGCTTGTCCAGTGCCAGCTTGAAGACTGCCAGGGGTCTGTTGGTAATCCCCCTTATGTGTGCTGGGAGGCAGTTGAACAGTCTCGGGCCCCTGACACTTATTGTATGATCTCTTAACGTGCTAGTGACACCCCTGCTTTTCATTGGGGGATGGTGCATCGTCTGCCAAGTCTTTTGCTTTTCGTAGTGAGTGATTTTTCGTGTGCAAGTTCGGTACTAGTCCCTCTAGGATTTTCCAGGTGTATATAATCATGTATCTCTCCCTCCTGCGTTCCAGGGAATACAGGTTTAGGAACCTCAAGCGCTCCCAATAATTGAGGTGTTTTATCTCCGTTATGCGCGCCGTGAAAGTTCTCTGTACATTTTCTAGGTCGGCAATTTCACCTGCCTTGAAAGGTGCTGTTAGTGTGCAGCAATATTCCAGCCTAGATAGAACAAGTGACCTGAAGAGTGTCATCATGGGCTTGGCCTCCCTAGTGTTGTGAACTGATGTGTAGTGTTGTGTACTGATGTGTAGTGGGAACCTGGGTGTCAATCACCTGGTGTGGGTTGCATTCTGGGTGTTAGTGGACTGGTGTGGGTTGCATCCTGGGGGTTAGTGGATTAGTGTGCATCACATCCTGGGTTTTAGGTGACTGGTGTGGATCACATCCAGGGTGTAAGGTGACTGGTGTGGGTCACATCCTGGGTGATAGTGTACTGGTGTGGGTCACATCCAGGGTGTTAGTGGACTGATGTGGGTCACATCCTGGGTGTTAATGGACTGGTGTGGGTTGCATCCTGGGTGTTAGTGGACTGGTGTGGGTCACATCCTCGGTGTTAATGGACTGGTGTGGTCACATCCTGGGGTGTTAGTGGACTGGTGTGGGTCACATCCTGGGTGTTAGTGGACTGGTGTGGGTCACATCCTGGGTGCTAGTGGATTGGTGTGGGTCACATCCTGGGTGTCAGTGGACTAATGTGGGTCACATCCTGGGTGTTAGTGGACTGGTGTGGGTCACATCCTTGGTGTTAGTGGACTGGTGTGGGTCACATCCTGGGTGCTAGTGGACTGGTGGGGGTCACATCCTGGGTGTCATTTGGGACTAATTGTGGGTCACATCCTGGGTGTTAGTGGACTGGTGGGGTTCAAAATCCTGGGTGTTAATGGACTGGTGGGTCACATCCT